AAGCCAATCTGTTGTCGATTAGATTCTGAGGAAGACTGAATTTTTAGCAAGTGAAATTCAGGTACTTGAATTTTTTGTGTTATCCTCCGGACATCATAATCGATATAAGTTATCATAGACATTTTAAATCGCGGAGGCTTTGTTAGTTATGGGAAAATGAATAGTTACGAGACTGGACTTTCAGTAGGCACATTGTACTGATAACAAATGTAATCGGTATCCAGCGTTTTCTTGTTTTTGCCAAGGTCATAAGCACGTAAGTTATATATTCAGTTTAACGTTCTTTGTACAATACATGTAGCAGACGTGCGAGAAACATGAAAAAGCATACACAATTTTGGTGGGAAACGCAGATAAGAAGGGGTCACTTCGAACACCGAAGCCTAGATAACAGAATGATATTAAAATGGATCTTAAAGGAATGTGGACTGGTTGAATCTATCACAGGGTTCGGATAAACCAATTTTGAAACGGTAAACGATTTTCTGTGGTCTCGTCGTGTCCCTTGTATTAAATAATTATTCTTGCTTAAGTAAAAAAAGCTCGCGTGCCGACGGCTTAACGTTCGTGGTACTTCCCCGGCTCAGTGGTGCCATTTCGTGACTGGATGTCGCGTGGAACATTCTATACTTTAATTTTCCATCTTTCACGAGTCTTATTTGTATGAGCGTGAAACGTGGTCTTACCTTAGGCACTCTGCAGTCAAAATATAAAATTATATTTAATCATTATTTTACATCTTATGGAACGAACAGCATACACAACATTTGACTTTTATATTCATTACAGAATTTCCTTTTATGGGTCAGTGTACGACATGGCCCCGGGGGGGGGGTTGAGGAATGCGTCAGCCTACTTATCATCTTTTGGGGCTACGAGACGACATGACTATTGCGTCACAGCAGGGCCCCCAGTATGATCTCCACACTCTGGCGACGTAACCACTTTGATTACATAAAAAGTCCCCCTATAATATTCATAATTTCTACCTAAAAATTGTTAGAATGTTAATAGAGCATTGACTTGGAACTGTGAGTCTCGGAAGGGATCACATTCTCGACGAGACTATAGCTTTCAATAGTCTCAGTAGTAGTAGTGTAGTGACAAAGGTCTGGCCTGCCTTCGGTTCGTACAGGACACCAAATGTATGAAACTGAATTCACAAGCCATCCTAACCCCAAAAGCTGAATTTATTCTAAATACCAGTTCAGAATTCAACTCATACCAGCGCGGCACCATCACAAAGACCAACTGGTTAACACCGCTTAAGGAAATTCTCGCTGTGCGTACAGTTACCATTAAGCTTAGGAGTAATGCGGCCCACTGTAGGAAGCATTCAACGTCACCGATGCTTGAAAATACGCGAAGAGTAAATATAAAGTTGCTTAACCTCGGATTCAGGTGAACACATTGAAGCAGAATATAGAATGACCTTCCGTTCGGCCACCTTGGATATAAAACTCTCGCTTTTCGTATAGAATTTCCTGTTAATTATGGCGTCCTTCCGTTTCCGGTCTCAGACATGGGATTTTGCCGTTAAACAGACGGCTCACACGGGGGACGATCAGAAACACCAATGGCGATTGGTTAGTGCGTTATTTAGCGTGTTTCAGAGATCATACTCACGCCTAGTCAGGCTCGAGTATCTTGCTTTGTGACTGACGTAGGTGTGACAAGGTGTTTTGAATTCGTTGTTCGAAAGGAAAAGTTCAAAAAGATCTTACTGCATTTTACGTAACACCTATCGATACAGACAACACATCGTACTGGTGTGTAATGTGGGTTGCAAAAGTTTAGGCGTCGAAGGGATTCCTTGGCCAGGTTCGAATGTTGTAACAACGAAGCTGTGAGATAGACGAATTACAAGAAGAGCTTTTTTTGCTGTTTCCAAGGCTATATTTAAATACAATTCGACTTCCTAAATAAGGTACGAGTTGAGATTTCAGGTTCTCACGGCTGTCTTCTTGGTTATAGGGCCGTGTAGTGTGGTAGAAGTTTACCGAATACAATATCCTCCACATTGGGGCCTCGAAAACACGATATTCGTCTCGCATCGGAGCTGTCAGTGCTCAGACACTGGCTGTCATCACCACTTCCTGTGAGTGACTAACATCGCACTAGTAAACACTGAGATACGTCACAGCGGATGACTGCCAAGTAATTCATTGTGCTTACAGAGTATTCGGCCATTAATTACGTGACGTCTGATGGGCGCCGCCCCCAAGCTCACGAAAACCAGTGACGAGATCTGGCGGTCTTGTTTGAAAACTTAGGAGCTGAAAGCAAGAACTCTCTCTCTCTCTCTGTCTCTCTCTCTCTCTCTCTCTCTCTATATATATATATATATAAAATAAATAATCCGTGGCGTAACAGCCCACTGAGAGTCTGCATTTTCTTACGCGGACTTGCCAATTACTTGTGTATGACAGTGGTGACGTTCGCTTCGGACCGATAAGGACCAAACTTAGACTCGCTGCACAGGTCCTAATGTAAACCTCTACTTCCACATTTCGTCGAAATCTGTTACGTAGTTTCGGAGATAAAACAAGTCACTGGACACATTGCGGCCTTCACTTAGGGCGGAAGAAACTCACAAGAGTTTGGGGATATTTTGAATATCGTCTAATATTTTTTTAGGGATAGGCATTCTTTGTTGTTGCTCATTTTGAGCGTCTGTATGCAATATTTCCTGTTAGAAAGATAGCGTACGTAAAAGTTGAAGCTTTTTCAGAGGAAACGGTTCGTTATGTACGTGGCATAAAGACAGTTCTGACATTTTGAAACGCCCTAACAAAAGCTGCTATCGATTTGTAAACACCATCAGGAGCAGGCAACCCCCCCCCCCCCCCCCCCCACGGCCTGCCTTAACAGATCAATAGCTCTAGCGTATTCACTAATGGAACGCCCTAGTCACGTATATGCGCCGCCTTCACGGCATTACTTCAGAACGTCCGTATTCTGACGGTCATTCGAATAACACGGCTTACGTACACAGAGACACGTGCTGTTTATTTCTGTGGTACGATAATCCGACCGGACGTGTTAGGATTTTGTATTCTCGGCTTATTTAACGACGCTTTCAGATGTTACGATTGTGTAACGTCGAGTGATAGTGAGTAATGAATTGGGAAGGAAGCGGTCGTGACCTATATTAAGGCACTACAAGGAGATGTTTCTCGATTTTAACTCGAAGAATAAATGCTAATTACTTGACATTCCATTAGCGACTGACAAAACAGCCCCGTTGACATGCACGACAATTTTTTTTTTTGGGGGGGGCGTTACTAGAATTTTTGTAAATTTAATGACATTTAAGTTTTCGCCTTACGAAGAAGCACGAGGCCTTCCGTCTTGAACCTCTTATCAGTTTTTGAAGGTGAAGAGGGTATAAGTTACCGTGAACATTTCTACAAGGAGATGTTTCTCGATTTTAACGCGAAAAATAAATGCTAATTAATCAGGAACGAGACAATTTTCTAGAGCCACATTTTAGTATTTCACGTGAACGCACTAAGAGCAATGAAATGAGCTTTAGCGTGAATCACCATTGATAAAAAAAGTATGGCGATCTCCACGTGTTGATAAGAACTTTGGCCCTTCATTGTGACGGCATCCAGTTTGTTAATTCTCCTCTTTAAGTACGTCAACATTCCTGACATTTGGATCTGACGACATCGTCTGTCGTCCCCGCAAATTCCTGTCACTGATATGGTTTTTTGTTGAAGTGACGCAAAGATTCAGAGAGGTGAATCACTTCCTTTCGAAACTCCAGGCTTCTTCCTTCGGTAAACGTATCGCAGAATTTCTTAGAAATTCTCGGTTCCACATTGACGAATTTCTGACTTAGACACAATAATTGAAATAAGCATTTTTACTCCGCAGTCTCTCCACGAGTTAAAAAAAAATGCAGCTTTAAACTGAACGTGTGACGACGGCTATAAAATTGGCGAAATGGTGTTCAGCATTGCAGAAGATCGCATTTATGACACGTTCTCTCTCGCTGGCTCGTCGAATCATTTACATAATCAGTCCGTACCGCGAAGAAAACACTACACTTCACCATTACAAAGACCAGCTGGTTAACGCTGTTTAAGGAAATAATCGCTGTTTATTCTGAGAATAAAATCGATTAATTTAAAACAAATGGTACGCACATTTACCACTGGGCTTTGAAGGGTAATAAATACAAACCACTTTTGTAATAGACTGGAATAAACTACTGTACATTTTGGCTCTGTGACAAACAGATGCATACATTGCCAAAAAATATTGCCATTTTGTGGTGTCACTAAATATCAGTACAACCGCGTGTTTCGATTATAAACTGAAACGAATTACCAAGCTCGTCCTGCCAAAGTGGGAATATTTTTCCTCTGGTTCTACGACTGCCTGCCTGGATTTCTGCTCACGCTTAACAGGTCAAGGCAGACACGAGACATGAAATTAATTAGACATAATCATAAGCCTACTTGTCGAGTCTGTTAGAAGTTTATAAATAAGTGGCATGTTGCAGACACCAGCTGTCATTAATAAGGACTTTATCTGGCCCCTGTTCAGAATGTTTTAGTCCAGTGTTAGTAACAGAATAAAATCATTATATAAAGGTGGCAACCGGCCCATGAGGAAATTAATAGCAGACTAAAGAAGATCGTCTTCATAGTATTTACGAATCCAGACCGTACCGCGAAGAAAACACTACACATCACCATTACGAAAATCAGCTGGTTAACCCTTTGAAGCCGAAGCTCGTCTTCATAATATTTACGAATCCAGACCGTACCGCGAAGAAAACACTTCACTTAACCATTAGAAGTCGAATCAGGCGGTACCACATAAGATTTAACAAAAGAACATCCCGGTCAAAGCCTTAATAGCAGACTAAATTCCACGTACTTCAGAATCTTTTATCTAAAAGCATAAATATTAAAATAATATGTTATTTAGGTGTATAAATGAAGCGATGTGGGTTGAATTATAAATCCGCTTTCATTGTTTTTCAGGTGGGAGCCGAGCGAGCGGTGTCTTTTGACAATGGACTCGACGGGTCGGTAGCGGAGGACTGTTTTTTTGCGATGAGGGCCTATAAGGAGGGCTACTCGTTCAACTTCGTGGAGGGTGAGATGTGGGAGAAATCGCCTTTCTCGCTCTGCGACTTCGTTCAGCAAAGAAAGCGGTGGCTGCAGGGGATTCTGCTCGTCATACACTCGAAAGCCATTCCTCTGCGTTACAAGCTTCTGCTTGGCATCTCTTGCTATTCTTGGGTTACGATGCCCTTATCTACGTCCAATGTGGTGTTGGCTGCGCTGTGCCCAATACCGTGTCCACCTCTGATGGATTTCGTCTGTGCATTCATCGGTGCCATCAACATATACATGTATGTTTTTGGAGTTGTCAAGTCTTTCTCCTTGTACCGGTTCGGAATGCTCAGATTCCTTCTGTGTATATGTGGAGCACTCTGTACAATACCGTTCAATATACTCATCGAGAACGTGGCAGTTATGTGGGGACTTTTCGGTCACAAACACCGCTTTTATGTTGTAAATAAGGAGATTAAGCAAGTAATTTCAGTTTAGAAGAAACTCTCTTCTGTCAAAACTTGTAACTGTATCGCCATCGAATCATATTGGGAGGCATCGCCGTTAAAGATGCATATGCCGAAGAAATGCCGTTCCCCCTGAAAATCTGACAGTCGTTCACCATCAGTTGTCTGGAAGAAGTAAGATGATGAGAACATGCGGCGCATTCTTTTAATGCAAGTAAGTCACACGCTGATGTCAATGAAGAATGGAAGCAACCATCAGTTTGTTAATTCAGAAACATACTTGAAGACTTGAAGCAATGATGTGTTATCTCAGTTGATGGATGGTCGGTATCAGAGAGATAATGATCTTGGTGAGCGTTGCCCTCATCATTCTGGCATGTAATTTAACCAGGTTATCTGTTAGTGGTCCAATGTGTCATCACAGCCAGCAACATTTTCGCTTCAGAGGAAGTGTATCGAGAGAGAACGTTCTGTCCCTCGCCCCTCACAGCAACAAATATGGTGGCCAGGTGGCCACACCAGAACACTAATGCACTTAATCTTTGTCAATGAGGGATCGTGTTTTCAGTTCGTAATAGACGGGTTGAGTTACTTTTCCATCATGTTCAAAGTACAGTTGTTACTAGTTGATCCACGGTCATTTGTGTACAGTTTTTTTTGTTCTTTATATATATATATATAATTTTTTTCTTTTGTATTTTTTTTTTTGGGGGGGGGAGCATTAGTTAAAGATGTAGAGAAACAGCTAGATATCTTGAGTATATGAAGCTGTGCAGCCATTTAGTTTCTTCAAGAATTTGATCCTCCGTATGCCTCATATTGAGGCAAATTTAGTTTCCTTCTTCTTGCGCCCTTCTTTTTCTTTTTCCCCTCGTAATTAGAGCAAATGAACAAATTTTTGTGTTCACATGAACTAATGACAGGTGCATGTACACTGTCATTTTTGTTCCAATACAAACTCTCAAAAAGCATTCTGAGGGTTATTTCCTCTTTCGAACAAGACGGTATTCTTGAATTGGTGACTCATAATTTATCCGCAAATCCACGATCTTGCAAATGTATGGATTTAAGTAATAAATGCATTAATACTGAAGGATAATTGTTATAAAAGAAATTAAATGCGGATAAAGAACCGAGTAAGCACATTCTACGCTGGACCGCAACCCGCGACTACCACGCACGCTTCATATTCCTGACAAAATCTTTGGAATGACCTTCGGTTGCTGCGACTTGTCGAATGAAAGCCGTTTGTTCGCTGTTTTGCCATGCGCTACATCACAGTAGGAGCTGTACAGTCATTTTCCCCACTTGTATTACAAAAGTTTCACGCGTATAACTAGAAAAGCTTTAATAATTTACTGCGTACCTTCAGCATCACATGATTTCCTTCTTTTGACATACTTTGTATATTGTTATAGTTACTGTATTAGTGTATTTCATGTAATAATATTCAGATCTCGGGACGGTCTATCTTGAAAAAGAGAAATGAGTCACAAGTAATATAACTGCATGGTTATTATAGAAATTTATATTATAGGTATTAGAATAAACTGTTGAGACAGCAATTATGTCTGCCATGTTATATTGGCCACTACACGATGCAGGAATAAATCAGTCGATATTATTATTACTACCTACTCTACATTGTATTTTCAAGCAGTTTCACAGTAATGAGAAGTGATACATTAAATATATTCTTACATATATTCTCGTGTTTTTTAATACTGTAATATGGTCTTTGTTCACAGATTTATTTTAATTTGTGTGAAAAAAAAGTTATTTTTTGGCAAAGTATTTCACTTCAAGGTGTCGTTCAGAATGTCGCCAGAGACAAATTGAGCACAAGAAAGGCAGAAGTTTGTACGTTAGTTTTAATATACTTGTCTGCGTTTCTTTCGCCAAAATTGACACAATACGGTCGTCACAGAGTACAGGACCATTAAGTGACTTCATGGCATAAACCAAAGCTATTTGTGACTTCACATTGCTTATTTTCAATTTGGGTTTCAATATATTACCATATATGACCTCAGTAGTATTTTAGGTTTTCATGGCAGTGAGTCTGAAGACGCTGCGCCATGTATGGTAAACGTCTACCAGACTACATGGCGCAACAACTCGGAAGACACCCATCTTCTTATACGACCTTACTAATCTTCTACGCCTCTAGACATAAAATAACTGCCGCCATGTCCTTGCGTTAACGTAAGAAACACTGATTAGGGCAACTTTGTATCTGGCTGTACCCGAATTGAAGTTCGGCATATCCTACTGTGCGACTGCCAGTCATTCTAGTCAATTGTTATCCATTTGTTTTTTTTTGTTTTTTTTGGGGGGGGGGGATTCTTAAAAAGGTCCTAGGAAATATGTAGTACATATAGACTGAGTCACTCAGCTACGACTGGCAGAATGATGCCAGACCTTCACGTGATGTGGCCAATTTGACAATATACAGACAAAATAATTGCTGAATTCTCTTATATTTAAGGGAATAAAAATATTACTTGGTTTCATAAAAAGTACTTCATTTATTCTCTGTTACTGTGTGATTAGGTAGTATAAGTTAAGTATATAAAGAAGTATGTTTTAATGATGGTAAATTCCTTCTTGCAAGAGGTATGTCATGTACCTGCAATGTTGGTACTAGCAATTAGCAAACTGCTCGTGTACAGCCCTACTCGATTCCCCGTAAGTCGCATCGCCTAGAACCACGATACTCTACCGATTGTCTCCGCATTAAGATGGCATAAGGACAGCTTTGAAATGTTCAAAATATTCTATTTAATATAATATTTTATTATATGTCGTCAGTGTTATCTCCTTCCAAACCCGACAAGGAGCTCTGATAGCCAAGTCAGTATAATGATTAAGCTGTGGCCTGGATGACTGGGATTCGATTCCCGGCAGTGTTTGGACTGTCTCTGGTCCAGTGGGTACAAGGGGTAAAGTGGCCCTGCACTTCTTAAATAACACGGATTGCCTTATGAAACACTTTATTTTTCAAGTCAAATGGTGGTGGGGGGGGGGGGGGGGGAGTGAGAGACTGTAGAATGTAAAATGCTTCCTTTTTTAACTACCTGTCCCATAAAATTTGCCTTAAAAATATATTTTATTAAATCTTATTTTCTAATTGGAGGACAAAATTGTTTACCACACTGGTATGGTTACTGCTAAGTGAAATGTGCTATATGGTTGTATTGCTAGTTCTTTTTTATTAAATATATAAATAAATATGTGATTCCAGTCCAAAACTAATTGTTTAAGTTATAATTCTCAATTGCAATACTTCCCTATCCTGACAAAGTTCCATCAAAACTGCATGTTCATTGGACTTATAGATCACATGAGATTAACAGTATTTACTGCAAATGGATGCAATAGATCCTAAAGACAATATGTTACATTTATTTCACACATCTGAAAAATGTCAGTGCAACAGCATTTATTACTCACAT